AATAATATAAACAGGGGTCTGAAAGTTCCTCAGAAAAAAGGTAAAGCATCCGCATTAATCGTACATTAACTAAAACTACGGTTTATATGCAGCACTTTCGTTTCAGTAAACTATGCAAGCCACTGAACATTCGTTGAAGGCGATTAAGATGATTTCTCACTTTTCGCACTAATAGAATTTAGCGGTTGTCTTCAAGTTACGAAAAGCGGAATACATAGGACGATTTTACTTCAACTCACACAAACAGTTTCAAATCTTCATGAACTGAATAACAGGACAGGACGGTAAATCCGTGCACTGTAAGTACCATCCGTTGTCCCCATACAAAGCCTTAGAAAACTTTTCTAAGGCTTTGTATGGGGACAACGGATGGTACTTACAATGCACGCATTTTCCGACCTGTCATTTTGAATTATAGTATACAACTTGAATGTCTTACGAGTTATTGTTGGTAATGAATTTCTTGCTTTCCTCTCTGAAGGACGTGGCGCATTAAGAGGCAGTAAGATCGTGGTTCGAGGGAAAGGGCATTCATTTAAAAACAAACTTGCCTTTATTATGATAATCATACAAGTATATTGACATAATCCATGCAGTATTTCCTTTCCTTTAAGAAGGAAGTAATCATCATAGTTGGGTCTATCTATTTTGTGTTCAGCATTGCACATGCTTTTCAGTTTTATTTGAAAGAGAACAAATTCAAATAAAAAAAGAAGTAAAATCATCATCTACATCAATAACAAATAGCAGTTATGCTGTTGGCAGCAATCAACTTTGGTTGTTTGTCTTTCTAATATAAGAGGCACTGCAACTAAATTAAACTAAATTTTCCTATCTCACCAGGGGTAACATGGAAAGCAGAATAACATTGTGTATCAGCACTGTGTATTTCCTTCTTTGAGAATGGAAGCTTAGTCAGAATGGGGATCGGGAAGACGTTAAAGTTCAAATTCACCCCCAAACTGTCACTGTTACATTAGCATCAATCCAATTTTTAAAAAAGGAAAACCAGTGGAAAGAACAATGACGCTGACACATTTCCTCATTAATTTTGAGGAGAGCATTTTCTTCCCAAAAGGACCGGGGCTAAAATTAATAAGGTCTCCAATCACTTAAAAGAAGGTCTTCTTTTTGACATATGTTTTGATTCACTTGAAGCCTATTTAAACTAATAGGAGGCATAACTACATGATTTTTATTCAAGTCTTAACTACTACAAAAAAAAAAAAAAAAAGCACACAAACGCAAAGAATACGAAACAAAAAAGATTAATAATTAAAGAGGAAAAGACAAATGAATCATATTTCATAAAACTAACGCACATTTAATTATCATTCAAAGCTCTTCTTTTTGTTATGAATTATACATCTCTTAGCTGCTGCTAAACGTGCTTATTTTATGGAGGACAGTCTCGCCATCCATTGGTGTCCATATTATGTTTTGTATTATATTGATGGCGTGCAACTCAAATGTTATAGAAAAAGTCTCACGTTCACCTCAAGCGGCTACGTTTTGTGCTCTTCAGGTTTCTCGCAATCATGTCTTAACACACTCGAAGCTTTATGGAAAAAAACGCATTGAAGGACTTAGACAGTTAAAGGGGTGTTCTGAATTCAAAAACACAGTCGCTGCCTTACAAAACAATTGCTGAGGAGATGAACATGACATTTTTCACCGGCAACTGCGACGTCAAAGGCTCCTTACTTGGAGGTCATAACAGTAGCAATGAAGTAGAAGATCGAGGTTGGTAATTCAAAATGTCAGGAAATAATCTATTTTTAGGATACCTAGATATTAACCGGCTTAACACAAAACGTGTGAGGGTAACTTTCGATAAAATCATGCTTATTCCGAAAAGAGGACAGCTGTCGGTTAATCTAAAAATAATGCATAGTATATGAAATATGACATATTATCCCATGCAAAAAGTATATTTTCATCATTATTCATCACGGAACACACGAAAAAAGTTTAAATGAAAGGGAAAGGTCACTGGAGATTAAGTATACATACATTAAATACGTATTTGGTGCGACTTTTTTCATGTTTAGCTACTCATGGTAAGCTATACAAATTATGGTAAGCTATAAATATTATGCATAGATAGATAGCGTGACTCCTTCGGTGATTAATTAATATGACAGTGTTAAATGGAGGCCCTCAATAGCCAAATACATCTACTAGTTGGAATAATGATATGATAAAAAGTAAAGTGAATTTCTACTTTTTAACAATTTCCATTCACAGGAAACATATCTATATCCATTGAAGAAACAAACACAAAGTTTCAAGGTATTATTTTCCTAATGTATCTTGGACACGCTATCCTATTTCTAGCATCACTGTTTGGAAATTCTTTAATTATACACATTATACGAACAAACAGTTCCTTGAAGACCACTACGAACCAGTTGATCTTACACCAGGCTTGCACAGATGTTCTTATAACATTTCTTCAGTTAATGAATGCTATTCATTACAATTCATACAGAAGGTTGTGGTTCGGAGGATCACTTGGTAATTTTACTTGCAAGTTATTCCTGACAAGCTTAATTGTTTTACCTGACTTTTCAATTTGGATACTCGCAATGATTGGTATTGATCGGTATTACGCAGTGAGTCGACCTCT